TATAAGAGACAGCCCCAGCGGGGCTCCCTTGCGGCCATCCGCGGCGCCGGCGGGCGGGGGAAAATGACTCCACGCTCCTCTGCAGCCTCGTCCCGCTTGGGGACGAAGGTAGGAGCTCTCTTCCACAGCTCTGGAAGACACAGGGGACCCACGCTTTGCTTTGAACTCTTCACACGAAAGGACGGAAGCAGAGGTGCGGGGGGCAGAGCTGGAGCCGCACAGCTCATCCTCCACGCCTCCCTCCTGCCCTCAACACCGGTTGTCTCAGTTCTGGTTTTGCTCACAGTAGCCCCCACTAGTGCCCATCGCTTTATTTCACTCGTGTCTCTGCCCCCGACGCACTGGTGACTTCACTCTCCGCAGGCTATCCTGGGCTCAGGCTCAGAGTAAAGCCCCGTCTCAGTAAGGCCGCTCTTTGCTCGACGCCGTCCTGGGCTCTGGCCCCTATGGTAACCACAAACATTGGGCGAGCTGGGATTATGCTACACCAAGCAAAGCTTCTGCCACCCCGACCTCGGCACTCAAACTGGAGTCAGGAGGGAGCAGGGGTGCCGATGAAACCCGGCAAAACCCTTCCTTCCAGTACAGGAGTGGACACGTGCTATGCAGGTAAGTTAATGAAATACAAGGAAAAAGAGCCCTTTTCTGGAATATTCACGCATAGCATTAGGGTTTGGGTTTTTTTTAAAGTACTTGATTTCATTTTAAGTGTATTTAAGATGATATTTTTCTACTGAACTTTTAATATTTTTATTTCCGTATCTCCTCTGTAAGCAAAATGGAATTGCTGCACACATCTTTTACTCATATGGCAGAACATACATAATTTTTAAAGGACTACTGAAAAAAGATAACAAAATTTGTGCTAAACACAAGTTAGCTTCTCCTAAGATCTTTACTTGTTTCTCCTCTGTAAACAACCTTGTGAGAATTGGAAGGAGATTTTCAGAGATCAACATACCAAGAAGCTATTAGTCATGAGTTTCTGCAGTACGTGGAACTTAGTGGTACTGGTGGTACCCACAGGAAGGAAAACACAGTGACTCTGGCTGAAATAATTCCACAGGAGAGGTTTGACATTTATTAAAGTAACAAATGCACAGAAATGATGTAGTTAGCTCCTCACAGTGATATGATTTGAGACATCTATGCTATAGAGCCATTGATGAATGAAACGATAATCAAAGCTCTAATTTTGAAAATTATTCCTACTCCCTTTTCCTGCTCTAAGCTAGATCAGCCACAGGACAAAATGCAAATGAAGAATCTGCATTTTTCTCAAGTGGGAAGCCTGAGCACCAGAAAATAACCCTCTCATCTCACTATATATTTATGACTGCAAAAGCTAAAAAAAAGTCTAAATAAGGCATGCATGTGCGCTGCTGCTGGCTGACATCGGTTTGGGTGAGCTGTCATTACTAAACATTTTTCTGGAGAACTGCAGTCTTTCCCAGATTCTTAAGGTCTGCCTTTTTACTTTGTATAAAAATATGACGCTTGTCTCTAAGTAGGAGAAAGTAACTATCAAGACTACAAACGTTTAAATTTATTTGAGAATAAAGTTCTATTAAACAGGTTTCAAAAGAGGTCATGTTTAAAAAACAGCTTCCAAGTTCCCACTTATTTCTGGTTGTTTTATTTTATTTAGTGGCAAATCAGATCACCTCTTCTATGAATCAAGTGTTTAATGTTTTAGATCAATTAATTCAAGTACTTTGAGTAATCAAGTAATTGATCAAGACTTCATTCTAGTGAAAGCTGCAGGGACCACAGCAGCTTTCAAGTCAAAGTTATTCACTAAGTAAAAAAAGTTCCAACATGCAAATTTCTTCCTCAAGGTGAATTTTAAATCAACCGTCACAGATAATTTATGTACATAAGCCTGAACAACAAAAATAGTTTAATATTCCCTTGTGCTAACAAGCTAAGTCACTAGACTCCTAGATCAGAAAAAGATTACATATACCAGATATGACTGCTAATGGTTGTTGTCAAAATTAGCAAACATAATATTGTTCTACTTGGCAAAAATAAACCTTTTCAATACGTGTGCTCCTAGGGATAAGTCAAGCAACAGTTTATGTCATATCCTTTTCATAGAGAGTTCTACAAATATTTGATACGATATTTTCTACCACGGCAGGCTTCTTCCCTTAAGGAAAGACCATATTTATTTTCTAAATGTGAGCTTTTAAGTTTGTTTATTTTCTAAAACTTGCATTTCAATGACAGAAAACACTTCTTTCTCCTCCTTTCCTTAACTGAATCATGCAGCCATGATTGAAAGGAAAGGGCATTGTACTGGTTATTAAATTCTTATGGTTTCTCAACAAAATGCTTGTTAATAACATGTGAAAACTTACACCAATATACTTAAAAGAGCTTGAACAATCCCAAGTGCTTAATAGCATGCCAACTCCACGCAGCTAAAACTAATATAAGCGCTGAGCATGCATCATCTCTTCACTCCTACATGCACCATTTCCATAAGATGATGTGTACGGCCGGCCCAGGCTGCAGGAGCTGAAGAGGGATTTGCTGGCAGTTACTAGCACTGCGAGTCTGCGGCCAAACCATGTTCCATAAAAAGGCGGCGAGGCTCTGGCAGGGCTGCACAAGTTAGGAAAGACAGTGTTATTTTCACACAGAGCCTGAGCTAGTAAGCCCAACTGTACAGGTAAGGAATGTCTGCACGGGCATCACAGAGCAAAAAGCACCATGTGGTCTTGCAGGGCTCATCAGGGCCAAGTGTCCATACCTCACTCCTGGTATCCAAGTTATACAGGTTCTGTCAGTGCCAAACATATTGCAGCATCTTTTAGATCCCTTTACTTTCTGCGCTCTTCACTGGTCACCAAAGTGCAGTCTCACAAGCACTGGAAAGCCATTACACTCTAGATGTAGTGTTCCTACAGTGCAGTCTTTCAAAATTTCAATCTAGCAAGGGTCCATGCAGTGAGCAGATCCAGTTCAGCGCAAAAACTGGTGCATTGCTCTTCCTTTGCCATCTCAAACTTTAGAGAACCTTTCCAAAAAGTTATGTTCGTTGAAAATTACCATCTTATATATTAATAAACCGGAAATTAACACTGAATGTAAAAAAAAAATAGAAGGAAAACTTACTCTGCAGGACAACTAACTTGAAGGTTATGTAAAAAACGCTGAGCAAAACTATCATATTGCCAAAAGATTAAGAATTCTTATAAATAAGTTTTTACTTAAGATTCAAGATTAATTGTTCCAGTGTGATCATGAAAAATCTCACTCCAAGTTTACTATTGCAACCTTGACTGCCTTCGTCATTAATTCACTTAATCAGTCCTCATACTCAATTAAAGCTCCAGATCTGAAGTGATTTTGCAATAAATAATTGCACCAGCCCCCTCCATTTATTACCTAAAGCCAATGAAATATTCTGAACACTGAAGAGCATATATGATGTGAATATTTCCCTGAAACAGACAACTAATGTAGCTAGTTTACCAGCTTTGAACTGCACTTCCTCCCTTTCCTCACCCTCCTCCCTACCCTAAAAGCACCTTATCTATATTATCTGTGGCTCACTTCAAATACAATCCCTTATGCTAAAGCACCTTTAGCATAAAATATGCACTATCCCAACTGAATTGACACAAGTTTTATTTGATTTTTCTGATATTAGCAGAAAGACAATGCAACTTCTTTGGTTACTAAAGCTTTGATTTTTATTTAAAAGCAAATTTCAGGGCTTTACTAATGAGCATGGCAATATAAAACAAGTCTTAATGATACTGCATTTTATTGGGGTGAAAAAGCGCTCAAAAATAGAAGCTCATTAGCATTCTTCCCCCTCACTTTTCCAACCAGCTTACTTATAGAAAACAGACTCTTCTTGTTAGCGGACTCTCCAGGTGACATGTTTTAGACAGACACTCCGACTTTCTCTTTAGAGCGCAAAAAGATGTTCTTAAGTGATAAGACAGACTCCAGGGCCTCTTTCTTTTCTATAAAGAAGGAAAACTCTGCCAGACTGCTTCTGGCATAACCCCATTCGTTTTTCCTGCAATGACAATTGATAGAGAATGAAAGCACCCTCTGGGACATGGAGGGTTCGGTTTCCTTTGGCAGCGGTCTCGATTGGAAGCAAACCTGAATTATTTCACTTCAAAGCAATAAATAAGGAATACTCTTAAATAAGGAATACTCTTCTGGAATGTCAAAAACATGCACATTAACCAAAACCAACCTTCACAAGAATCTGAAAGCATAAGATTGCTTAGCCCAAAAAACCCCAAACAAACCCCAAACCAACCAAGTTATTACTAATGCAAGTGTAGAAATTGGTCAACAGTACCTTAGGATCCAGTGGGTGGGGTGGGAGGGATGGCACAGGGGAAGGGTATCACATAACACTCAGTTCACCTGACAAACTTACAATAGATAATCCTAAAGGGAAAAAAAAGTATATGACCATCATGGCTATCTTAAAATCTATAGACTGTTTCTGTTCTTGTTACACAAAACTTCACTACAACAATCATTACTTTTCTATCATTTATTTCAGTTAGGTGAGATACTTCACATTTTTGTATTCACCTGTGTGCACCCTCCGCAGTCCTGCCATTTGAACTAACGTTAACTACTAGTGTGGCTTTTCTGGGGAAAAAAATCCATGTTGGTTTTACACATATACAAACAGTAAACACTGGTTTAACTAAAGATTTTTGACAATTTATTAACATTATTAGGCTTGAGAAACAAAATTTTTATTCAAAATGTATTTTTAAAATGTTAGTGCTCACCAACAGTAAGAAGAAACAGTCCTTTTTCTGCCTTTTTTCTTCCATATATTTATAAATAATGCACTGAAAAAAATACTTTTGTCTTTTGAGTCACCTGCAGAAGTTATTATAATATTCTTGTATCAGTATAATTAAAGATGGAGATAGCCTCATATGTCAAGGTTTTATCCATAAACATACCACATACTCCACTCAAAATGTCATCTGTGAATGATACAAATGATAATCCTGCTCTGAGCTTGCTCATCATTATTATGATGAAATATCACAGGCAGTAATTCCCCAAACTTTTAAGGGGGTGGAAGGGGAAAAACCCACCACATATAAGTCTTGCACAAAATGCATGCGTGTATATAAATACCCAAAGTTGCTTTAGGAACAAGCAGCAAGATATAGCAAGGACAAATGCAAAGTTTATTCCACGTATGCTACAATTAATCAACATGTTAGGGAAGTATCAAAATTTGTACTATTAACATATGGCAACAGTTTTATTGTTACAATACATTGCAATAGACTAGCCCCACTGGAAAAGGCTTTTAAGCTGCAGACAGTGCAATCGCATTAAATCTTAATTCTTCTGGGTCACGTTCCATGAATTTCTTGCAAACTTCTATTGCATCCTAGGGTAAAAAGTGAAAAACAAAAAAACACAAAACAAGAAACACTATAAATCACACTTACTAAGAGAGAACCACAAGTGAAATATGAAGATATGCTTTATACAAACTATGCTCAACATGGATTTTTCCTTCAAGGATTACTAAATGGTGTGACAAATCTACATAAACTGTAATTCTGATCTGAGTTACCAGTATTGAAGATTATTTACAGTGCTCATATGGGCAGCATAAGAGACCAAAGGTTTTATGCAGAACCTTAGCCACAATGATTTTTGTGACTATTACTTTGTGCAACAGATTGGTTGCTTGTCTGACTTTCTAAATGCATCTCTGAAGTTTGCCTTTACTAGTACTGCTGTATTCAGAATTTTTTCCTTTGTGTCAAGATGAATCTAAGCTGTGTGGGGTAAGTGAAAGATTATAAGTAATTCCTTCATCTAGCTTTAGGGTGCAATCTGGAGAACACATGTTATCAGTAAAACAGAAAAAAGCCACATATGAGAAAAGGAGAACTTTATCCAACTTCTCCCCCTGCCCAAACAAGCACAAATTGTATGCAAACTTTACAGACATTAATCTATGCTACTAAATAAAAGGGTTTTGTTTGGCTGGTTTTAGTTTCTCTGTTTTACTCTTTTTGTAAAGCTAATCCAGTCTGGATACAATAAAAGTCAAATCTATGCATCGCCTTCTCTCAGCCTCAGCTTCACATCATTCTGTGAGGATGACCATTTATCCTCCCAATCCAGCGTATTCCTTTTCATTTAATTTCTCAACTCAACAGCTTCTGATACAAAGAAGCACCCAGGAGTCACAAAACTGGAGAATATCGAACTGTAACTAAACCAAAGGAAAGATGATGAAAAATTATCCTAAATTTTCAGTCTGATGACTTCATCTCAGGTACAATTTTAAAGGAGCAGGGGTATATGAAAATCACAGCACAGAAGAAAAGTCAGTCTGATCGTCTGTTATAGTCAACCCTTCTGACATGTCTTGTTACCAGGTTATGATACTCTGTCATCCAGATTCACAACATGAGCGTTCTGAAATACCTGTTTTAAAACTGAGTAAACCTGTCTCACCATCCCACTCAATCTATTCCTCATCCAACTGTAAATATAGTAAGAGTTTTGTATAAATATTTTTTGTAAATTCTGTGGCAATATAGCAAGAACACTGTATAACATCATTTAAGAAGGTTTAGTCCTACCTCTAAAAAAGAATCATCACTGGTTTCCCCATGGTTTATTGGAAATGGCTTGCGCCCATCTGTTGAAACACAAGCAGGATTGAACAACACATTTATAAAATTAGAAAAGCTTCAATTTTCCAGTTAGAACTATTTGAACAGATTTTTCACTCTTCACTTAAAAAAAAAATGCTACCTCATTTTTCATAAAAGAATCACAAATGCAGCTAGCTATTTCCTAGTCTCTCCTACACTGCTGACTGCTTTAACAGACATAATTATGTACAGTCCATTACATTTAAAAAAAAAAAAAAAAGCAAAACAATGAAATACTTTTACATGTTTTATGTGAAAACTTTAAGGCTGTAAGTTGCAATTGTTTTAGTGCTGGTATAGTACTTCAGTTTTTCAAGTAGAGAAGAACAATTTCAACTACACTTAATGGATTTACCCAGACAGACAGCTGCACATCTGTGGTCTTTGACAGCTGTGATCAGGGACTCTATGACAGAACAGAATACCAAATCCACCAGTTTGAAGAGTCTGGCATAACTGAGGTTACTAATTTAAAATATATAAGCAAACAAACCCAGTAACTCTAAGTATTAAGTACTTTCACAGCATTTATAAATAGTTGCTGTAGTTAAATTTTTTTCTCCCATTTGCAATATAATAATGCTATCATTCTCAGCATTTAAAAAATAATTTCATTCATAGGAATGTTTCAGGTTACTTGTGAAGAGCTGACAGTACGAAAACATATGTCAGGATATCCTAAGTATTTGCTAGACCAAATTCCCTTTCGGCCCTATCCTCTCTTTTAAAGACTTTTCCCTCCCCAAAATTCCATTGAAGTTGACAATACTTCCAAACTAAATTTTCCATAACTAAAAATAGACTCGATGTTAGAAAACTTTTGGATTTACATAAATAAAACATTGTTCATTATTGTCACAACCATGACTGAATATACAACAATGCAAAGCGGTCAGAACGTGCCAGGGAAACAGAACTGAATGCCCTGTACTATTGCAAGCTAAGTTTGATTCATTTTTTGTTGGGTTTTTTTGGTTTGTTTTTTGGGTTTTTTTACAGCATTTAAATTTCATGTGCCTATAAATAACATATTTTCTATGGCAAAAACATCATAATCATTTAACATCCATGTGCTTCCTTAGCATTTTCTGCCCACCAAAGCCCACATGCTGGCCACAGTGACGGAAGCCAGTGAATCAACTGAAAAACCTTCTTCCATTTTCCTACTTTGAAGTATTTTTTGCTTTCTTCCGCTGGTACAGAGAGAAGTTATTTTAAGAACAAAGCAAATAGTACTGGCATTTCACTCGACAGTGGAGCTAAATGCCTTTTTTTAAGAAAAAAATATTTAGAGAAAAAATGGGATTTATCTTGCATCATACTTACGGAAAACAGCTAAACATCATAATCATAGTTTGTAGTGTGCTTTTTAAGCAGAGCAAATTAATGCACAATGAAAAGGTAACATGAAAATAGTAGCACACAACTAAGAGTGAGCCATCCATCATGCCTTGAAATTTAGTCATAAATTATTTGCACTGCATCCTACAGTAGTTGCCTCACTATTTGATCTAGTCACTGACAGACATACAGCATAATAAAAATACAGAAATGTGTGCCTATTCTTCATACTTACCACTGATCATACCCCTTTGATCACCTCAATATTAACATAAGCACTTCTTATATACCACTTATGCCTCAGTTTATGATTATCTGTCACCTGTTAAGGGCATGGCTTAATTACATGTTGATTTTCATTCTCACCATAAAACACTGAAAAAAATACGTTAGGGAAGAGAAGTGACTTGCAGTTTTTAAATCCTGATCTACTTGCTATCTTTCTGAAGTGCCTGCAGCAAAACCTAGTTGCCCAGCAACATGTTTAAGATTGGAGTCATTAGAGAATATCTGAGCAGAACTTGGTGCTACACAATCTGAAGAGGAAAAAAAAAAAAAGCTGTAGTTCAGAAAAGAGAATACTGTTTTACAGGTAACTGTCTTGTGACCACAAGAGGGTAAAAGAAAAAATAACCAGCCTGTAAAATGGGTTGCAGAATATTAGTATCTGCTAGTATCCTGACTACATAATTACAGTTTAGACTCTCACTCTATTTAATAATATAGCTAACACTTCTAAAGTGGCATACAGTTCATTTATTAATTTCTCAAGCAATTCAGAGACATAAGTATAACAGTACTTTCCTCTCTAAAATTTTGAGTGTTCATCAATTCTTTCTTGCTTCCTGTCCTTGTAAATCAGGAAGTTTAAAGGCAGTCTAGTATTCTGTACCATTTTATCTTAATGGGAGGGAGTTGAGGGAAGGAGAATCCAAAGTAACAATGTGAAGAAGGCTGCAATTGTTTGACAGAACTCCTAGACCCTATGATGCAGCTGAAAATAACCTAAACCCTATATTACATCCAGTAACTCTCTAACTTTGACAGTTAACATTACTGCTTGTATTTGTTTCAAACAAATGGATAGTGGATAAAAAATGTTCTTACCCAATTCATAGAGATGACCACCTACATTAACTAATGCAATAAAGTGAAGATCTACTTTTTCATCTATACTCGGTGCCTGCAAGACAAAACAAAACAAGAAGAAATTGTCTTCACTAAAACTCTTATCACAATATGATTAATGAGAACGTATCATCATAATATACAAAACACCTGGCCAAGAGAAATCACAAGTGAGAAACACATTCTGGATCTATACAGAATGGCAGAAGTGATAGTTCAGAACATTTCAGAATATAAAGAAGCTTTCTGCAATGCACAGATCAGCAAGAATCCTTTCAGTGGAGTATCTGGAAGTATTTCCAGTTATATCTCTACGTTAAAGCTTTATTTTTCACTACTGAATTAGAACTAGTATCAGCTCAAATACATTAACATTAAAAATAGATATTAATATAAATAGCAACTCCTTCACTAACCCATCTCCCGTAACAAAGTGATGCAGGGTTGAACTCTGAACTGGCTGTATTTTAAAACTGAAAATATTCAGTTGGTCAAAATATTTTTTTTCTTTTAAGTCACATATACTATGGTTAACCTGTTCCTTCTTCACAGGCAGTCAAAAGAAATGGTTCACACATCTTAGGTGGGGAGGAAAGGAAATAACCAGAGGTGCCTAGACTGTAATTTCGAAGTGGCATCATAGGCATCATACCAAGAAAGGACTGAAGTGCAGTGACAGGATCAAGTGACATAACATAAAAAATAGTTATAGTTGGTAAAGATTGCTCTAGCCCGGTACTGTGTTGCCAACTACAGCAAGCAAAAGCTTCTTCAGAAGAAAGCAGGGCATGCACAGCATGGTACTCTGCCAGCACACATTCCAAACATCCACTAAGCAGTGGCTTTTGAACTTCTGAGCCAAAAGGTACATCACCACTGTTGTGCTCAATAGCAATTGATGGTCTTATTTCCCCATCAATCTGTCCAGTCTGCATCTGAGTCTTTAGCCACAATTTAAGAAGATACTGTTTGAGACAATGGGAAAAAACATCTCAGTTTTTCTTAAATTATCAAGAATCTGACTTATGTGAAAATACATTTCATGCAGTTTTCTTCCATCTTGTAATTACTGTTAGCCTTATGTGAATCTCTTGAAGCACCTCAGAATTAGAAGAATTTGCCAGAAGCAGGTTAGAGTGTAAAATGACTTGCGGAACCTTACAGTCACATCATGTTTTCAAGACTGGGTTAAAAGTTTCCTTTGTCCAGATGGTCATGACTTTAAAAGGTGATCTAAATTGAAGAAATATAGCAAACAACCAGAACAATGAAGCAAAGGACAGGAAGTCACCTAAGTCCTTCAGTACATCAAGAACGCCAAAGAACACAGCATTACAGAGGAACTGCCAACATCTTACAGAAATTCTATGTAGCAAGCTCAAAAACTAGAGAGAATTAAAAAAATGAAACAACAAACCCACACAACCTCCCCTCACTCTCATTTGAAATTCATATCCGTGAAAAGCATGAAAAGGCATAAATACCCAGTTTTATCTGTGTTTCAGAGTGCCTAGAATGGAGAAAGAGCTTTCCTGCCTCTGAAGATGAGGCAGCTATCAAAGGGATGAGAGGACCATTCCACCAGAACTCCAAGGAGTCTTCTTCCCCTATAGCATAAGTGAATTGCCTTTGAGAATTTTGTTTTACCGAAGGCCAGAGACAGGACTTAGAAAAAGCAGCCTCAAGAGTTTGGCTACCCCGGTTGTAAACTTCCAAGGACCACAGGCTTTCATAACTTCCTGAAAACCATGCAAGACAGTAGCTGACAACCAATAGCATCTTATTATTTCCATCAAACAACCAACTTTTTACAGGCATTTAAACTGTGGTGCTACGAAAGTGTGCAGGCAGGCAAAGCTGAGAGTCCTTGCCAAACTGTACATTGCCACCTAATTCTCTTATTCTCTTTGTAGATATACCACTTCTCGACTGTTCACTTATCAATTAAACCTATGAACTGGGAATTCTGGGCTTAAGAAATTTCAGGTTAGGTGAAAGACCACTACCAGTTAGTCTCACTTTAGGAAGGAAATGGCTTAGCATTTAAAAGCTTGAATCTAAACATAACACTACCTAGGCTCAAATTTATATTAACTAGAAGAGCTCAAAGTATCCCTGTTTCAGAAGGCTTTCGTCCTCTGAGTTTCAGATTTGGTTTTGATCACATTTATAACAAAATACAGTTGCCCCTTTGACCATTTTAGGGTTGTGTTCTTTGCCAGCTTCTAATAAACACCTTTTCCATAGAGAGACACACTTGGCGTGCTTGGAATGCTGAGCCTATATATGGCTAGAAGATGGATAGAGAAGCCATCAGAAAAAGCATGATTAACTTTTCATAGAGCTTACTTGGAGACAGACTCCTATAGAACCCTGCTGAGTTTTTGTACATGCCTAATCTAAATAACATGCTTTCATTATGCTATTGCCACAAGCCATGAGAAATGTTCTTTTTACATTTTTAATACCTCAACCTCAGAGAGAGAATGAAAGAGCCATGCCATTATTAAAGGTTCTACCACATGTTTTAATGTAGACAGTCTCCTCCCCTGTGAATTCTTTTCATCCAATGCAGATAGTAAATTTACTCCAAAGTAAATTTACTCAAAGTATATTTCACATTTCTTGAAAAATTAGGATTTCAGTCATTTTTGACAGTCCATTATTTGCATAACCATAAGCACAGAGAAACAATAGGGTACGAATAGTCGATGACGTAAAACTTTGTATTATAAAAATCTGTTGCTTGTGACTTAGGCAAACAAGTAACTGGATTAAACTTTCCCAATGTGATGATTCGGATTCAAAATTCCCCCCCCCCTCCTCCATAGGGGAAAAAAAAAAAAAGACATCCATTGCATATGTGTGCATGCACACTCACACAGACACACACAAGAAAAGAAGCCTAGTCAGGCTAATTTGTACTTCACTGGGAGCTTCTAAAAATTCTAACACTTGAACCAGAAGATATTAAATTTCAAAGGAATGGGAAGAAGAGGGAACGTCAGCTTCAGGGAGATGTCTTTTGTGGTCTCCTTGAAAAGCTATGCCTGTCACCGAGTTTTCAGCTTCTAATAAAGTCTGTGTGAATGCTTAAAAGAACAAGAGAATATAGCTTTAAGAAGTCTGCCTGCCTGTTCATCCCTAGGTAGTATTTGCAGAACAATTTCAGAGCATTTTCTCTAAAGTGTTGGGATGACCCATTCCTTTAGATTTTTTCATTTAGAAGTCCACTCAATGTGCAAAAGGAGACAGCAGATTTGAATGACCACATGTATGAACCACAAGGAAGGAGAACGACAGAGGAGTCTAAATAAGATGACTGCTAATCAGGATTTGGAACTAACCTATGGGATTCAAGACTCATTTTTCAATTTGCTGAAGAGCTGTGGCACACTGAAGAAAATTTATATCCATATTCTTTCCAATCCAGAAGAGACAGAAAGAGGACGAATACCAGCATCTTGGGTAGCTTACAGAAGCTTATGTTATGGTTTCAACCTTAGTATAAGTTTTGGTAGTATGGGTTAGTGGAATTTATCTCTTTAAAAAAAAAAACCAAACCAAACCAAAATGTGAAAAATAATAATCAGTAGACTTGAAACTGATTGAAAAGGGAAAAATGCAAAAAGTTTAGTGCTCAGAGTGATGGTTCTGAGAATATCTTCTCAGCTGTAATTTTTTCTCAAGGTATTAAGATAACTCTCAATGGTAATAATCTATCAAATCTTCATGAATACCCAGTCTCAAAAGCGACAGCCAAGGTTACTGTACCCTCTAATTCTGGATACCACATTAAAAGCACCTAAATGACCGAGTCCCGATTTTTCAGAGGATTTGACTGCCTTCTCTGCTAACCTGAACATTCAAATTAAATAATAAATGATTGCTGTGAGAAGTCAATTTTAATCGACTTGTCTCAGGTCAATACCCATTATTACATATTATCGAAACTGCACCTCTACATTTCTTCCTCTAGTCTCCACTAATAGATTTCCAGTCAGTAGTTTTTAAAATGGCACTTCCCAAAGTTTTTAGTATACAAATGATAATCCCTCCTACTCTCTCTTGTACTGAGCAATTCCTTGATTTTACCTTTCGCCACTGCATGCTGCCCCCTCCTCATGAACTACAACAGTCTCTTATTGCACTAACCTTCAGAAACTCAATGGTACACTCCTATATCACTGTTTGCCCAATCATATCAGCTGGTCTAATGAAGTATATTTCATCACCTACGAAATTTATCTTGCTAGTGCACTTGGAACATTATCCCAAAAGTCAGTATTCTATTTTCATGCATTTTAAATCTTTTGATCTTCAAACGTTGCTACACTAGAACAAAATTGTTCATCAGATTTGATGTGCAATGGGTTTCTTTTCTCTAAAACTGCATTTCTGGGACAAACACACAATTAGAAAAAAAAAATTTCTTGCTCTCATGGACATATTGAACAAGTCCTCACCACATCCTGCTTAAAATTTATTTATGAAAGACCACATTATAAAAACAGGTTCAATGTTATATGGCAGACTTCAGGCAACTTCTTCCAACTGTATCATGTATTTTTATTACTTCCTTACACTTGCTCTTGAGAGAAAGGAGTGAAGCAAGAAGTCTCACAAAACAGTTTAATAGAATGCTTTGCATTACAGGTAGAGACTGGGAAAGGAAAAAACCACCACTTGTGTTAAGTCAAAAAACTGGCATCAAGGGTCTGTCAAGTTCTGGAAAACGAGCAGAAAAGACTGATGGAAAAGATAATTTTCAGAACCTCGAGGAATAAAAAAATTCAGATGCATCTAATTGAAAGATGACAAAAGTAACTGAAGTCTAAGAGAATAAAAAAAACTGAGGGGTTTTCACACCATACAACTTCACGCACAAGGAGTTACAAGAAGCCAAGAAAAACATATTCAAAAATGAACATTACACAACAGAACGTAAGGTATGCTTTCGCTTCAGTAAATTTTGAAGTAAAGTGGAAAAAGTGATGCAATTGCTGTTGGGTAGATTAGGCATCTGTAATTTCCATTTTGAAGCATGAAACATCC